TTATCAATCAATTGACACGACTATTGCCATCATCAAACAAGTAGGCGGTGGTGGGGGGCTTCTTGCTAAGACTGACTTGGAAAACGTCTACAAAAAATACATATATATCCAAGTGATTTCGCACTGCTAGGTTTCAAGATATCTGGGTCATATTATTATGATAAAACTCTTCCATTTGGCTTGAGTTATTCTTGTCAACTTTTTGAGAAGTTCAGCTCAGCATTACAGTGGATTTTAGAGAATAAGTGTGACGTAACTTATTGCATACATTAGATAATTTTCTTTTTGTTGGTCCCCCCCCCCCCCCTGGTTACCAGACTGCTACAGCTCACTTTTAGCCTTCTATTCCCTTGCCAAAGATATCAACCTCCCTATAATATCTGAGAAAACAGTTCACCAAACAACCACCTTGATATTTTTTGGGTTGGAATTAGATACACTTTACTCCCGGCAGATAAGTTGAAGCGCTTGAAATTTGAAATAAAATCATTCCAAAATAAACGCACTGCTTCACTTCGCTAATTGCAGTCTTTATTAGGAGCATTAAATTATGCTTGTGCAGTTATTTCCCCGGAGTATACATCACGTAGGCGAATTATCAATCTTACTCGGGGCTTGCAAAGTCCTTTCCATCACAGGAATCTAGATAAAGAAGCCCGATCTGATCTAAAAGCATGGGCCATTTTTCTGGATCATTTTAACGGTAAAGGTTTTTTTTCCTTCAGGAGTACAACACACATCCTCCTCTTTAGACTCATATACTGAAGCTAGCAATTTGGGATTTGGTTGTACCTTTGATAGAAAATGGTTCTCTGCCCCTTTTCCTAATCAGTGGGTAGATTTTCACATTTCAGTTAGAGAGTTTCTGCCTATTTTGATCGCGTTTGACATATTGGGACATTTATTATCTAACAGTACCGTTATTATGCACTCTGACAACCTACCAGTTGTTCACGTCATCAACAAAAACTCTTCTAAAGACCCATCACTTATGCAACTTATGAGACGACTCATGGTGTTATCTCTAAAACATAATATGCATTTTCAAGCTAAACATATTGAAGGAGTCAAGAATATTGCTGCAGGTCTACTTTCTCGGTTGCAGGTCAAAGAGTTCCAAACACGGCTTCCCTACATGGATCCGGCCTCCACCCCTGTGAACCCGGCGTTGATAAGTCTCTGAATCAAACCTCAGATATACTATCTGGTTCTCTATACTATATGGTTCTCTATCACCATCCACAGTGGCAGCCTTCAAATTAGCATTCCAGTCATACAAGCTTTACATATCACAAACTTATGGTCAGAGAACGCCACCTCTACCACCACGTTTGGAACACCTAGCTAGCTTCATAGCAAATTGCTACTCGAACCATCATATCTGCTCTCGGTTTTGTCTTTCAGTTAGGTTCCTCCCAAGACTTTTCCCAGCATTTTATCATCAAAAGAATGCTTCAAGGTTTTCTGGAAGCTTAACCAAACAGTGACCCAAGACTTCCAATTACCCCTCCTAAAATTAGTACAGGCTCTACCCTACACAACAGATTCATATTTTTCCAGAATTTGGCTTCGGGCCATGTTTATATTGGCTAATTGTGCTTTCTGGAGGGCAGGAGAGATTACAAAAGCAAAAGAAAAACTCATCATTATCTACATGTGTATTAAAACACATCTCTTAGGGTATCGATGCATACGGCCTTAGTTTTCTGGAAAGTGCAATCCCTCATTTCAAACATTCGAAGTTAAATTCTACAACTATTCACCTAAATCAAAACACCAGGAATCCATTTATATGTCCATATCATGCACTTAAAGACTTCCTTAATTTTAGAAAACATCATTCTCTGGAGTCGCCCCTTTTTTCCTTTATGGATTGATTGATTGATTGTATGTTGTTTAACGTCCCTCTCGAGAATTTTTCACTCATATGGAGACGCCACCACTTGCCGGTGGAGGGCTACAAATTTTGATTTATACTCGGCCCTCAGAACCATTGAGCAGTGAGGGATCTTTTTCGTGCCAGCACCTACTGCGACACGGGACCTCTGTTTATACAGTCTCATCCGAAGGACCGGTCTCCATGTCCCGCAGTGGGATTCAAACCCGCGACGTAAGGATCAACTCCTTTCTCCGCGACTCTAGAGCAGACGCTCTAACCACTGCGCCATTTTCCTTTATGGACAACACCCCAGTACTTCACCAATGTTTTACTTCACAACTTCGATTAGCTCTTAAATTCAGTAACTTAAACCTTTCAAAATACCATGCTCACAGTTTCAGGATAGGCGCTGCAACCACAGGTGCTGCAACAGGGTACACGGAAATCCAGATTCAGAGCATGGGTCGTTGGAAGTCTAATGCTTTTAGGAAGTACATTCGAATCCCCTCTATTCCCCCGCATTGATATTATCTGGAGACATGGGCTTCAGGTTTTTGGAGTAACAATCTAGTGTGTCTTCAGACAGGGGCTTAAGGTAAACCCTATTAAAGACATTGCCACTTAGAGACAGGAGCTCAAAGTATGCTTTTATCTTGTGGCATGAACAAATGGAATACTTTTCTCGAGACAGGGGCTCAAGATAAATCTTAACCACAAGTCAAGTTCTATTGTATTGTACATATTATAGATTTGAGCACATCATGCTTATTCACGACCTTAATAGTTGCACACGCTACATTTAAGTCCATGGGTAATCGCTCGACCGAACATGATTTTTTATCGTATATTATTTTTCAACTGTAGAACATACTTGCATTCCATGGATCCCTGTTTTCTGTGTCTTTCATTGCGCTGTATCACTAGTGATACTAAGTAAGAAAAAATGGTTTGACGATAGTTATTTCTGTTTGTTTCTTTCTTTTATGACGATGATGCTAGATGGGGCGGGGTGGTAACAAGCCAGCATTGGTTCTTTTTTCTTCCCGCATTGGTATCCGAGTGGTACTTTGTTACGGTGGCAGATGATGCCCCATATTGTCTTTTTGTTGTATATGTACATATGCTTACATTTAGAAATATGTATTTGATTATGCAATTTTAATATTAGGACTCAGGGACGCTTTTAGTCTTGTGGTAGTTTTTAACTAAGGTGCTTCTGTTGTAAATAGTATGTCTTTCTAGTCATAGATGTGCACCGATCTTGCGGGTTCATGGCATGATATTTTTGTCCATAGTCTATTTTATTGATTGTATGTATGTTTACTGTTTGTCATTCATTTGACTTGTTTTGAGTAAATAACCATTCTTATTCCTTTACGTATGCGTTACTGTTATGATTTCATGGGATCTGTCAAACAACATAATTATTAATAGTGTAGACAAAATGATATGGTCAACATGCACATGCGTGCACGTGCGCGCGCTTCCAATGCTAAAATAAATGACCAATATACTTGATACAGCTGTAAACTTTTACACTTTATGATAAAATGCTTTGATACTCATAATATAGAGATACATAAATAGTTTAGACAAGATGATATTGTCAACATGCACATGCGCGTGCGGGCAATGCTAAAATGACTATACTTGATATAACCGTATTTTTTTTTTTATACTTTTTGATTAAACGCTTTGATATTCATATCAAGATATACTAATAATGTAAACAAGATGACATGATCATCATGTACATGCATGCTCGTGGGCATACGTGCAATGCTTAAACTATATGTACATTATTTAACCCCTGAAATACTTCGGTAAAAAGTTGTTTAAGTCTAAAATACATAGAGTTTGTTTGTCTTATTTAATGAAGCTTATAGGAAAAAAGGCACCAAAAGGCAGCTTGTGAGCGGTTGGGGAACATCTGTAAGGGTTTAAAATTAGTTCCTAGTGAACAAATTCTTGGGTAAACTAATAAATCTGAAAATCAGATGTATTTACGAGTTAAAGTAACAGAATATATTAGAGTATAACTTCGTGTAGGATGAAGTATATGGAGATAACGAACAGTATTCAAGCTCAAAAGTCCATTAAACAATACAAATTGTGTAGCAGAGCAAACACGGACCTCTAAAATATCAGAGGTTGGATCAGGTGTCATGGAGGAGTGAGCATCCCCTGCCGACCGGCCACTCCCGCCGTGTGCTCCTTGTGATGATCGGGAAATAACCGAAAAATCCGTCGACAATTCAGTGTGTAAATAATGGCCTAAAATTAGTATTAAAAAATTCGGTCAGCATTTGACTTAATGATAAGTTGTACATGTATTTGCTGAAAAGGTCATTGTATCGACCATAGAACTTACGAAATGACGACTTTAAAGGAAACAGCTGATATTCTTGTTTCAGCAACTTGTTTGTCAATAACTTACCTCGTTTTAGAAATTGTTCATATGTAGAGCATGCTCATGTGTATCTAATCAACTTAGAGATATAAACCATGTATGCAGGTGATGAAGGTATATTGCTGCATAAGTAAGGGAATTAACTTTTAAAATTGAAAGAAAAATGTTTTTTATGAATATATTGGGCAGTAAAATATTCTAAGTCATTGATTTACTTCGTGAATTGTACCTGTTGTAAATGAAGTTAATTCTTACCAAATTGGGTAAACCCTGGAGTGTAGGAAGTATTAAATTTCAAATTTTGATGGATAACTAAGTACTTATCAAAATCAAGGAAAAAATTTCCTGCTTCATGCACAGAAGTAAACTACAATATTTGTAAAGATTGCATGAATATCTATGGTTAAGGTCACACTCTTGAGTCCCAAGGGGGACATTTTTGTTTTTCTCTGGTCATATGCGTAAATGCTACACGTATACATATATTTCAAAATCGGCTGAAAATGGTCCAGCCATTTTAAAGAAGCTAAAAATTTTAAAAGGGTTACATTGCATTATAGATGACGACAGACCACAGTAGGTAGTAGTACATTTCTTATTAATAAGTGGTGATGGGATGATCAGATGATCGTTAAAATAGATTATTTCCCAGACATATAAATTGATTCAACCAACTACTATTAAAATACATAAGTAACAAAAATGTATTGCCTTTTGGTACTTCTTCCATGCAGGTGTTTAGTCTTGGATTGAAGTACTCTCCATGAGAGCAGTGAGTGATGATCATGGTGCGGTTAGTGTCACACACAATATAATCTTCCTGCCATAGTTTTCCTTGAAATGCCTTTTTTCCATTTTTCAATCCTTGACAACTAGGCAACCGTTTGGGACATGGGACACAGGAGACATTGCTGGTTACACACTGATTTTGAACATACTCACCTAAAAAAAACAATTATTAAGTCTCCGAAATCTTATCAAAACTTTCACACTTAAATAAAACGCTGTATTCTAGATTTCTATATAAATTCACTCATTTTATCAACTCACATGGTGCCTGAGGCTCTGTTCTATTGTCACATAAGACTGTCCTGAAGTTCTCGCAGCTCATACTGACGGCAGAAAACAGATCAGGATATTTACATTCCTGGAGATGTTTTCCGTACTTGGAGTTGTCTACAGAACAGTTGTAATACTGAGCACAATTGTCATTTGTGCGGTAAATGGCCCTTGGATTCTGTTTGCAAATCTCATTAATGTTACCTGAAAATACAGATTACATAAAAGAATAAAAAAGCATTACCAAGTGTTAAACGGGTATCATTTGTTACTTCGACTTTAAGAATTCATATGATTTAAACTTGCAGGCTACAACAAAACTTACTTGGACTTGCTTTCTCTAGACATTTTCGTTGAATTGGGTCAAAGAAGCGAGAGGAACATCTCTTTATATCAATGGTCCTATTTTTGTAGCAGATGACATAATCAGGTTTCCATAACAACCAATTGAAAGGGTTCTTCCCATCAGGCAATGTCACACAAGAAGGAAGTCTCTTATTGCAAGGAATACAGCTTTTGTTCACTGGCACACAAAGGTTCCGCTGGTACTCACCTTATATAATTAAAAACACATTAGAGACAGAATATCGGAAAAAGAGCATGAAGTGGTCGATATAACTATGCTTTATCATAAAAAATAATCCTCTCTTCTCTTACATGGTGCCTGAGGCTCCATGCGTCTATCACAAGTCACATTCTCAAACCACTGGCATGACATAGATGTCATAGAAAACAATTCTGGATAAAGACATTCCAATGTGTGATTCCCATCTAATCCTGAATCAGAACAGTTGATGTACTGACCACAGTTGTCTTTCTTTGGAAGCAAAGCTTTGGGGTTGGCTGAGCAATAATCTGTTATGTCCACTATATATTTAAAAAAACAACAATTAGTTTCCCAGACATAAAGTAATTCACATATGAATGATACAAATGAGTTTCATTTCTGACTACATTATTGGAGTAAAAGATTAATTTGGTTTACTGGATTTTTAACAGTGAAATACTGTAACTTTTTTTATTGAATAAAAGCAATATTTTGTCACAGTATGAAAAAATATTTAATTGATGTTTTTGAAGTGTGAAAGAATTTCAATGTTGAGACAAAACTCTCAATTTTTTCTTCTTTTCTTGAAGAGTCTTGTAAAAATATACCCCCTGGCCCTTTAGAAGATAGTGATAGTAATTAAACTATCGTTAAAGTGACTGAAATTGTTAGAGTTTCTACAAATATGTTGTTAAAATTCTTGTTTACAATGTTGTTTTAATTTCACGATCAGTTAGTTATGACGTTCTAACCACTCAAAAATGACATCACTGCCTATGACACAGTGTTTTAAAAGACCATTTCAAAAAACGTAATAGGGGAAAATTCAGTTGTCGTTGAATACAGAATTCATTTCACCTGTAAGACAGGACTTTATAAAAAAAAATTTTACTCGTGTTTCGCAGATGTAAAAATATTTATTAAAAAAATCCTATCCCACTTTTAAAATATCTAATTACAAAACATTGAATATTCTGGATATCTTTTACACCTCAAAGCAGTTTATGAAATGCATTACTTATTCCAAACTACATAACAATTTTAATGATGTCTCAAAATCCAAAATTTCTCATTCCAAAAAATGATTTTTTTGAAATCAAATTTAATTTAAAAATGAATTTTCATTAAACCCAATAAAATTATAGCAGTTATATACAATCAAGTATGGAGATAACGAACAGTAATCCTGCACAAAAGTCCATCAAGACAATACAAATTTGGAACAGAGCAACTACGAACCTCTAAGAATATAAGAGGTTGGATTAGGTGCCTTGGAGGAGTAAGCATCCTCTGTCGAAAAGTCACACCTGTCGTGTGCAAGCTCCTTATCTTAATCGGGCAAACGGGAAAATCCGTAAACAATTCAGTGTGTAAATAATGTCCGAAAATTAGTATGTAAAATGTCAGTCAGCATTTGACCTACTAATGTAATGATAGATTGTATTTGCTGACAAGGCCATTGTATCGACCATAGAACTTACAAAATGATGACTTCAAAAGAGACTGTTTATCCTTGTTTCATCAACTTGTTAGTTAATAGCTTGCCTCGTTTTAAAAATTGATCCTACGTAGAGCATGCTCTTGCGTATTGAATCAACTAAAAGGCATAAAATTCATTTGCAGGTGACAAGAGTATATTGCTACATAAGTAAGGAAAGTTCACGATGGAAAAGATAAAGTCATCCGTTTATCATAAAATGTTGTTGTTAGGGTACCATTAACGTCTTTTTCTAGTTAAATATCCATATATAAAACAAATGTATTGGACTCTGTGATGTCCTATTTCAAGTTCACGATACGACGATCGACGTCACAGTATGTCTTGTTAACCAAAAGTAGGTGTGACTTACAAAACTGTGATTCTTCTGGCAAACTTACCAAAGCAACATCAAAGTAAAATCTAAATTTACCGTCAGTCCTAAAGTAAACGTTTATTTGTTTGTACTGATTTTATGGAGTTTTGGAATCCAGCATATGTATGGTAATTCAATTTTTTTTTTAGATTGTTTGGAATATTTAAAACATTTTAAACTGAGATATAGTTATGAAGAATGTCCTCTTTGCGAAATTACGACTCTAATCTAAACTGTCGGTATCCTTGCTTCATCAACTAATTTCACAAAAGCTTGCTTCGTTTAAAAAAAAAGGTTCGTACGGAGAGCATGCTCTTGCGGATCGAATCAACTTGGAGACATAAAATAAAGGGTATATTGCTTTTTGTAAAAATGCTACGGTAAATGTGTATAGTAAGGAATTTCATGTATGTGCTGAAATTTAGGAAATACTTGAAATTCTTATTCTGCTTAGGAAATACATACATTTATTTACTGTTTTCAGGTAGGAAATACATGTATTTATTGATTTTTTTTCAATGGCGTCCACCACAATCTGACACCTCTGTCTTGGGTGCGTGGTGTATTCAATGTGAATCCAGTATGGGTACTCTTTACTATATCTAATCTGATAACAGTCTAAAGTAACTGAAATTTTAGGGAATTAAAAATTATTTTATTGTTAAGATATTCAACTACTCTTTTCTGAGACTTAGTGCTTTCACTAATAATCGTTCAACGAAGGACACATCTCTTTCCCAACATACTTTCACAGGGCACCTAATAAGGACATCAGTTTTAATCATTTCCTTTCCTTCACTATAGCAAGCCACTCAATTCCTAATTGAACTTTGTCCTCATATACCTTGTACAAAATATTATATATTACTAAAAAGTATCTTCCGAAATTTACGTTAAACTTTACAGACGTTCTTGCTCGAGTTCGACTGCAGGAGGATAAAACGTACGCTCAACTAGGCCTAGTGCTTCTTGAGAAGAAATCGAAAATTTGAACGACAGTCAGACGGACGCAGGAAACCTTTTTGATTAGAAAAGCTATGTGAGCCTTCTGCTTAGGTGAAGTAAAAACGTTTCATTTTAAAATTTAACTAATTAACTTGTTCGATGTCCAGCAATAAAAAAAAATTAATTTTTAAAGATTGCATGAATTTAGATTGTTTGGGCCCATCTATCGGGCCCCACAAAGACTAGAATTTACAATCGTTCCCCTTTATCAGTAATTGTTTAATTTTCAATAATAATTGAAATCGGTCAATTTTAAAAGAACTGAAAATGCTGAATAATTTACGATGCACTTCAATTGACGATAGACGAGGAGAGATAGCAGTAAGTGATCTGAGTCTCCTAAAAATCAAAATAGTTTTCCTTATCAATCAGACTGCTTAAACTATTTATGATTACCACATATTATAAATATATATATTATATATCCATGTATGATAAGACATATTAAAGTCTGTAAGTAACAAAATTTTGATTACCATTTGGAACATCCTTCATGCAAGTGCTTAGTCTTGGATTGAAGTACTCTCCTTGAGAACACTGAGTGATGTTCATTGTACGGTTGGTGTCACACACAATATAATCTGTCTGCCATAGTTTTCCTGGAAATGCCTCTTTTCCATTTGTCAATCCTTGACAACTTGGCAACCGTTTATGACAAGGAATGCAATTGGTACTGTTGATAGTACAGAGGTTTTTATAATATTCACCTTTAAAAAAAGAAGAAGAAAAAACTTTTATACATAGATATTTAATGTTAAATTTCATAATTCTGTATGCTGCATAATTGGTCCTAACTCATGATTAATTATATTAATAATTATTATTATCATCATTTTTGTTTTGATTGATTGATTGATTGAATGTTGTTTTACGTCCCGTTTTTCACTCAAATAGAGACGTCACCATATACCGGTGAAAGGCTTCAAATTTAGACCTTTACTTAGCAATCAGGGTCATTGAGCAGTGAGGTTCATTATATATGCCAACGCCTACCGTGAAACGGAGTCTCGGTCTTCAAAGCGCCGAGCGCTTGGCGAAGGATTAGTTGCTACCTATTTTATATCGACTTGTCAGTCGCGGACAAGATTCGAACACACGACCTTCCGATCACGGAGCGCGCGCTCTACCGACTGAGCTCCCCTGACGATTTATTATTTTGAATATAGACACAAAACAATATGTATATATATTTCCTAAAGTTTCTCCTTAAGTTTGTGAATGGTAGGCAAAGCAATTGATGCAGTTTATATATAATTTTTTAAAAAAGAAAGAAAGGGGCCTTGATTTCTGGAAAATTCTCTGCATTGCATTACATCGGAATATGTTTCCTCATTAAATGTGATAAATTAAGAAAAAATGTAGAACATAAATGTGTATGAAGTAAAATACAAATAATGAAAAAAAACATACACGGTGTCACAGGTTCCTTCCTTTTGGTGCAATTCACAGTTTTAAAATTTTGACATTTTCCAGTGCTCAGAGAGAAAAGATCTGGATATCTGCACTCTGTTTTCATGTCCTCAAGTGTCTTTGATGTAAGCAGTTTTGAACAGTTGTAAAATTTTGCACAATTTTCGGGATCCGGTATTGCAGCAGAGTGGTTTTTTGAACACAGGAAGTTTAAAACAGCTGTTAAAATGAAGTTTTTAAAAAAAGTAAAATCAAAGGAAATTATGTGGAAGACATTTATCTTAAGTATTCGTATACCTTAATATACAAAAAGAATTTATAATTGCACAGTTTCAAAAGAAGCACTGTTAGCAAAATAAAATTAACTGCATTTGATTTTAAGACGGAGTCATGTTACCCCGTCTTTTAATTTACTTTCAATCGAAATCTAAAACGGACGCCCATCCCCAAGCATCTCAATTGCAATCTGTGTTAAATAAAAAAGTGCAAAAATTGCCATGGTCAAGACACACACACTCATTCAATCCATAGAAAGTTATTTGAAATTTTTTTCTACACAAATAAAAGAGGTTGGTAAAGCATTAAAAAAATTAATCTTTAAAATTCATTACATATAAACAGAGTACTTGAACGCCTAATATTAGATTGTGTTACCCTCGTTTGCTTCCAGAAACGTCAGATAATTACTAATATGTCGGATGTCGTTAAATTCGGTTTAAGCTATAAGGCTCCTCGTCTATAAATAAATCTTACACAGAGTGAATTCAATATTTTGGTCCAATGTTTATCTTTAATTATTATGCCCCCGTAATTGAAGATTTGGGAATTTATAGTTTTTGCCATGACCATCCATCTGTCTGTCTTTCTGTTTGTCCGCAAAAACCTGAACATTGCCCATAACTTTTGATTGGTTGGAGCTCTGGCTTTCACATTTCACATGTATATCCCTTGTGACAAGACCTTTTTTGTATACCAACACATTTTACCTCCTGACCTTGTAGTTTGACCTACCTTTGCAAAAAATAACCAAACTTTAACCATGACCATAAATTTTGAGTAGTCGGTGATAGGGCTTTCATACATTACGTGTGATTTAATTGTGTCAAGACCTTTCATTGGTTTTAAATATTTTTGACCTTTTGACCTTGACATCTATTTTATCCTCTTTTTAAATACTTTAACCTTGGCCATATCTTTTGAATAAAGAGTACGAAGGGTTTTAGATTTCACAGGTGCATTGCTAGTGAAAAATCCTTTTTGTGAAAACCAATAGTTTTGCCCTCTTGACCTGTATCTTGGTGTTTGACCTACTTTTGAAAAAAACCTTTAACCTTGGCTATAACCGTTGAACAGTTGATGCTATAACTTTTACATTTCACATTTGTATTTCTTGTGACAAGGCCTTCCCCTGGGTACTCTTAATCTTGACTTTGAGTTTGACCCACATTAAATAAACTTTAATCTTGACCAAAACTTTTGGATGGTTGGAACTTGGGCTTTTATATTTCACAGGTACATGTATAATCATTGAGACAAGTCCTTTCTTTGAGGAACAAGATTTTTGATCTATTGACCTTGACCTTGGAGATTTACTTCCATTTGAGAAGCTTTAACTTTCGCCATTAGCTGCTATACGGGGGCATCAGTGTTTCACAAACATCTTGTTTTTTTTTAAATGAAGGTTATTATAACGACAATAGAATTTACGAAATGCTGACTGTAAACGGCTGTACAAATCCCTTCATCATCAAGTTATTTGTAAGTACCTGCCTTTATTAATTAATACTGAAGTTACGGTTTCATATATTAAAGCAAAAGTACTTATCAAAATAACTACTCATGGCGCTAAATTGTTTTACTATTGACTCGTGATCACAAAGACAAGAAACTGAAAAAAAATCAATGGCACGAAAATAAACAACATGTCTCCTCCCTCCTCCCTTTCCGAATCAAATATCACTCAGCAAAACTTGTTTCATTTTCTAGTGTTTTGTTGCACTTAAGAAATAAACAACAGTGTATAAAAAGTTCACTAGAATATGAACTTGGTTGGTCACATGATCAAATCCTGTGAAGCCGGAAGGGCTTCTCAGTAGATTTGATCACGTACAAAGAGTTGCCCTTGCTCATCATAACTATATACTTGGTTTATCTGCTAAATACCCAGGGACAGAGAAGTAGATTTCAAAGAAATAATGCACTTTCACTATTTAATCAATAGAGCCCCGACCAACAAAGTAACACCAGAAACCCTAACCTGGGGCCTCAAATTTCACAATTTTGGAAGAGGTGCCCTTGCTCATCATAACTATACCGAAAGGAAAAAGAAACACAGGGTAAACTTTTTAGGTGAAATAAGGTTATATATTTCAGACGTATATTCCAGTTATCCTATCTAACATTTAAAATCATCTTTAATAAAAATGTAACCAAAATCTCATTTGATTTTTTCCAAAAATTCATGAGTAATCGAAACTCAAATGACGGTACCCCCCTCCCCAAAGGGAAAAATGAAAATTCTCATTATCTCATATGCCTCCCTCGCGCATCTGTCACAGCTTTGATTCTCCTATGCATGGACTTCATAAGTGTGTTTATCCTTCTAATAGGGATATTATTCAACCCTTCCGAGAAGGCAGCCCTTATTCGATTGAGACCACCTTGGACATTCTATCGTCCACGTAGTCCCACAGACGTTTGATGCGAAAAAGATGGACTTGACAGAGACCAGTCAAATGGATAAATGTGACTGTTTGCGAAAAAATCTTGACAAACCCTGGCAGCATAGGGAGGGGGTTAACATGCCCAAAAAAAATAGGCAAACGACACACGCATGCGCAAGTAAGAGGAACATTTACGTAAAGTTGACGAGCTCACAAAACAAAATCCTGCTATCGATTTCCTTCAGTTTTGGGGTGAATGTAACGATTATGATAGCCTGCTGTATTAATAGCAGTTTTAGGGTAATACAGGTGGCAGGATGAATAGCCTGATCTTGACGTGGCGCTGTTACGCGTCAACGTTATCTTCACGGTTGGTTGGAAACCTTTCTACACCCTCTCTGAGGACGGGTAAGACGTTTTATTGTGGAAAAATTAACAACAAACTGCACAGAAACCTGTCGTTGCCTTTGTCCTTACTTAGGCAATGCAATAGCCAGACCCCATGGTACTACTGTCAACCGTACCTTGATTTCAAGAAATGCAAATCGACTGTTAATACTGAAAAACTATGTGTATTACTTAAGTGCAACAAATGGTACTACGAGATGTGTTGAAAAACATGTCGTCATCAATATGCACGTGTTTGCGGTTTTTTACCACTTTCCCCATGTGACGTCATACATTTCACGGTCGAGTAAATCTGAACACGGATTTTAATGCACAGTAACCAAGATATCCCTCTTACCAATTTTCATAATTTTCGGTTGCACAGTCAAAAATTTTTCGCATATTATGTTACCCTGCGTTTCTTTTTCTTTTCAGTATATATATATTTGCTTTTTCTGCTTAAAACCTAGGAGCACAGATAAAGACTTTCACAGAAATAATGCACTTTTACTATATAATCAATAGAGCCCCCCTTTCCTGGAGAACCCCTCACCCTGGGGCCAAATTTCACAATCTTGTAAGAGGCACCATTGATCATCATAACCTTGCAATAAGTGTATCTGCTTTATATAATGGGGGAGAGAAAAAGATTTTCAAAAGAGCCCCGCCCTTACACCAGAACCCCTGACCCAGGGGCCATGAAATTCACAATTTTGGAAGAGGCATATGCATCCTTGTTCATCATATCCTTGCACCTAGTTTATCTTCTTAATAAACAGGGGAAAAGAAGAAGATTTTCAGAGAATTAATGTATTTTCATAATATAATCATAAGAGCCCCGCCCTAACACTAGAACCCCTGACCCAGGGGCCATGAAATTCACAATTTTAGAAGAGGCCCCCCTCCACACCATAACTATTTACTTAGTTCATTGGCTTATACCCAGGAGTAGAGGAGAGGATTTTCAAAGAATAAATGTATTTTCACTATATAATCATTAGAGCCCTAACACCAGAACCCCTGACCCAGGGTCCACAAAATTCACAATTTTGGAAGAGGCAACCTTCTTCATCATAACTATGCATTTAGTGTGTTTGCATAATACCCAGGAGCAGAGGAGAAAATTTTCAAGGAATAATGCATTTTCACTATATATTCAACAGAGCCCCACCTTAGCACCAGAGCCCATGACCCTGGGCCATGAATTTCACAATTTTGGTAGAGGGTTCAATCCTTATTGGTTGAAATTAGTTGAGCAGTTTCAGAGAAGAAGCCAAAAATGTTCAAATGTTAACGCACGACGGCGGATGAAAACAGATAGCAATAGGTCACCCGAGTTTACTCAGGTTACCTAATAAAAGACGGCCTAGGTGTGCTAACAATGATATGAGAAAGAGACTACATCTAAATAGTGAAAGCATTTAGTTACCTTGGTGCTTGGTGACTCAGGTATCTTTAAAGATGCATAATTTTAAATACTCACGTCTTGAATAATTTTTACATCCTTTGAATTTTGGGTTGAAATATTGTAAATGACATTTCTTGACCCCAGTTGTTCTGTTTTGTTGACATTCGATGTAATCTGGTGCGAATTGCTTCCCTGGAAATATCTGTTTGCCATCTTGCAATCCAACACAAGAAGGTAACCTTTTTGTGCAGGGTAAACAGTCTGAATCAGTTGAATTACACAAATTTTGGACATATTCACCTGTTTAAATATAAAAAAAAGAAAGAAAATAATAATCTTAAAACAAGATGTGTTTGTGAAACACAATGCACCCGGCGGTAACAAAGTTCGAAAAAGCTATTTTTAGCATATAGGTCGCAGTCAAGGTCACAAGGTCATTGACCTTAGTGTCATTTGAGCTTAATTACTGGAGTAAGCATACCAAATATGAAGTCTCTATCTCTCATGGTTCAAAAGTTATGGCGAAGGTTAAAGTTGATAAACCTTGGTTTTAGAAGTAATATACTGAGTTGGATCGAAGACTACCTTACTGAACGACAACAAAAAGTGAATTTGGAAGGTTTTTATCAGCATATACAACTATAGATGCTGGGGTGCCTCAGGGGTCTGTACTTGGTCCCTTCCTGTTTTTGTTATACATAAATGATGTAACTAATGATATATAAAGTAATATTCGACTGTTTGCTGATGATACTTCTTTGTTTGCTATTATAGACAATGATATTACTAATGCAACAATGTCCCTTACTCAAGATCTTGAAAAAATTAGAAATTGGTCCAAGGCTTGGGCTGTTGATTTTAATAGTGAAAAAACTGTTAATGTTGATTTTACAAGAAAACACTTAAGTTATCCTGGCATTCAATTTGGATATAGAGGTGATTATATAAAACAATAAAAAACTCATGTTCATTTACGGATACAATTTCAGGCAGATGGTTCTTGGAATAATCATATGTCTAATATATATGAAAAGGCATGTAAAAGATTGAATATACTTAGGTTATTGAAACAAAGTATAGATAGAAATTCACTAATAAAAATTTATTTTGCTTTCATAAGACCAATTTTAGAATATGCAGATATTGTGTGGGATAATTGTACCCAAAGTAATGCAGAATTGCTTGAAAAAGTTCAGATAGAAGCTGCCAGAATTATTACTGGACTTAGAGTTAATTCTTCCAGAACTTGCTTGTATGATGAACTAGGATGGGAACCATTATATCTTAGAAGAGAAAAACACAAACTTATATTGATGTATAAAATGATTAATGGTTCTGCACCTGATTATTTGTATGAATTGATTCAACCTTTTTTTCCAGTTCCACATGCATACAACCTAAGGTCTGGATGTAATAACTTGTGTATACCAGTTTGTAAAACAATGTCTTACTATAATAGTTTTATTCCCTCAACTATAAAACTTTGGAACAGTCTTAGTGAGGATATCAAAAACTCTTCATCATTATCTATCTTTAAAGCAAAGCTTAAAAGTTGGAGAGTAACTAATAAACCATGTAGGTACTTTAACTTTGGTAATGGAAAAGAGAATATCTTACATTGTCAGTTGCGAAACAATGCTAGCAATCTCAATGCACATTTAAAAAATCATTTTTTATCAGACGCACAATCATGTCAAAAATGTGGATTTTATACAGAGGATACTGAACATTACTTTATCAAATGTCCATCATATATTGTTCAAAGAAATTTACTGGTAAAAAAATTAAATGATATTGATGTTGTCTTTGAACTCGACACTCTGTTAAGAGGCAAAAGTCAATATTCCTATCAAACAAACTGTAAAATATTTTCATATGTACATGAATTTATAAAATCTACTAAGAGACTTAGTTGAGTACACTATAATATTAAATACTCTGTTGAATGTATATATATATATTATTTTTACAATGCGCAATCAACTTCCATAATTATCACCCTGTATTAAGATGCAAGTGTCCAACCATAATCACTTTGTCCATCTACCGATCTGTCGATCTGTCAACACTTTTAAGTGACAAAATAATCTGAGAACATTTCATACTATGAATTTTATATATATTGCTTGGAGGGAAGTTCACCTCCTGGGATTTTTTTTTTTACAATAAATGAAGACTTCTTTCTCTGAAAACTAATGATCTGGAATTGAACTTTTATTAACATTCTTCAGAAGACTATCAAAGCTACATAGAATCAAAATGTGAATCGATAATAGGGGATAAATGGACAATATCACTAAGTGATGGTATCAGTTAGATTAAATTTGATCGTTTTATATTAGAGGCAAGGTCAGGTCAAGATCAGTACCTTTTCCCTGGACATTAAGAATAAAAAAAATACTGTTGCCAATCATGCGATGCCTACTTCTATTTCAATAAATTAAATATTTTTCTTTTTGCATAAAGAGATATTACCATATAGGGTCTATAAGATGATATTACCAAATTGACATAAATAATTTAACTAAAATGGATATTAGCTAATCCGAATTTTCTCTATTTTTCTTAAAATTTTAAGATAGTTTAGTTATTTTTATACGCTTCCTATATTTAAATTTTTCTTATTTTCACATATGGTAAAGTTGTCACATAAAGATACAAAATGATATAAAAACAAAAAGTTTTGACCGTTTACTAAGAGAGAAAAAATACTTTTTACGGATTTTTGGCTCAAATCTGAACTTAGATTGGAAGCTTTTAAAAGCTAACATAATTTTAGTTGGTTTGGAAAATCATATCTGATATATTTTAAAACTTTAGTCCATTATTATTAATATAACTTACATTTAAAAATTTTTCTCCAAGTCTTTGATTGTGTAAAAATTATAACTAAATTCATTGTTCTATAATTATCTTGAGAGGCGGAAAAGAAGATATTTTCATACGCCGTCATTCCGCCAAAAATATAGTCCCTGCTAGATTTCAAACTCAGTTTACCATTTCTATTTAAAGTTGTACAATTGTGATGAGGAAAGAAAAAATGATCTTTAAAATTTCTTACATCTAAATATATAAATCATATAAGCAAATATACTTTGAATATTTCCTCTAGTCAGAAACCAGACAAAATTCCCTCCTTAAGTTAATTCCTGAAATAAGTTCTTTCTTTACGCAATAGGCAATTTGAGGCTACTTTTAAAAATCCTTTATTTCGATAGTTTCAAGTAATTTCCCTCCTTTGTAAGAAATGGTACTAGCAGCTCAAGTACCTTTTGTGTTCAATAAGGAATAAGATACTTACAGGACGGCCTCAAGTGAAATGAATTTTGAATCAAATAACAATAACGAAAGCAATTATGCATATATTTTTATATCGCTAACTAACTGGAGGTAGCCAGGAGAGGTATGTTTCTTATCTTTATTACTTGTATTTTTTGTTTAACTCTTCTATTCAACTTCCCTCTCAATTACAGTATTGCATAGTTTTATTTAGCATAAGTTAAAAACTTAAAAGTAAAATTTTTGAAAGGGCACTCTTGCATATAATATTATTGCACTTAGTTTGTCTACTTTATGCCAAGGAATGCACAAGGTTTTCAAAGAAGTTGTGTTTTTTCTCTATATGATGAATAGTCCCTCACCCTAACATAAGAGCCCCTGACTCAAAGGCCATGAACCTCACAATTATAGAAAAGCACTTGTGCACATTATTACCATAAACTTAGTTTGCCTGCCAAATATCCAGGCACACAGATGATTTTTAAAGAAAAAAATTTACTAGGGATGCCTATACTGTCAATAATTCATATCTGAATATTCGGTAGGAGTATTCGAATGCCAGTACTCAATTAAATAAACATACCCTGCTTTATTTCATATATGCTTTACCCTACTCTCAGTTAAATCACGTTCCGTATCGGTATTTTGGAGTAAATTATATGTTGATTTTGTAAGTGTACAGTTTATTACATAAATATTTTATCTTTGTCAATATTTCATAGAAAAATAGTGACTGTAAGTATAAATAGCCAAAACATAACTAAGAAGAGGCGTTGTTTTTGTTTTTGTTATTTTTTAAATCCAAATGATTAATTGATCGTCTTACAACTTAGACTTGAACTTAACTACTTCAAACGTATATCGCGCAGGATTAACAATGATCGGCCGGGGGGAACTTATCATATTTTAAAAACAAGTACACTGAAAGAAATTTCCTTTATTTATTTGTTGATAATGATTTTTAATGAATACAATAAATTCTTGCCTTTATTATGAAATTGAACCCTTGCGTGTCCAAACGATTCAAAATTTTGAATAAGGTGTTCGAAATTAAACTTGGTAAATTAAATACTTTTCCATTTTAATTTACCAGAGTTGTCTCTCTTTCAAGAATATTTTTTTAAAAATTAACCCCACTCACCCACCCCAAAATATTTAAATCATAATTAATATTCGAATGTCAACTCATCGAGTGAATATTTAGATATTCGTTGACATCCCTAACTTTAACTATTTAATCAATAAAGCACCTTCCAAACTCAGGATCCAGGGGTATTGTATTAATTTTATAAGTTTTGCAGAAAGCGCTCTTGTTCATCATAACCATGCACTTCGTTTGTCTGCTAGTAATACGGGTGGTGAGAAGACGATGTTGGAAGAATTAATGCAGTAATGTTTTTACTCCTGTACATGAAAAATAAAGCCTCACCAGAAATCTTATCGCTAAGCTATCCATTTCACAGTATTGGTATAAGGCTTAATGATAATTACAATCAATCGACCAGTTTGACTCCTTAATTGACGTCCTGGAGCAGAGATGGTTTTTAAAGACTAAATTAATTTTGAAGGTTTAACCCACACCTCTCAGGTTGGAGAAGGGGACAGAGACCACAAAATTCACATTTCATGTTTCCCTTCACTTATACACAGTAAATTCGTTGAATTGGTTCAGCAGTTCCAGAGAAGATTTTTAACTCTTAAATCACTTGTGACATCTTTCTTTTGTTTAAGACCTTCACGGTAGCTCAGTTGGTAGAGCTCCGTGATCGAAAGGTCGTTGGTTCAAACCTCGGCCATGATTGACTAAGCTAAGTTGATAAAAAAAAAATAGGTAGGTATTGTTCCTTCGTCAAGTGCGCGGCACTTTGAAGTGAAAGTTGCGGTTCTTTTGGATGAGAGCTTTAAATCCGAGGCCCCGTGTCACGGCTGGCCTTGTCACGATAAAGAACCCTCACTGATCAATGGTCCTGAGAATAAAGGTCTAAATTTGAAGCCCTTCACCGGTATATGGGACGTCTCGA